ATGAATTCATTTGAGAGAGGATGTTTTTTCTGCCAATGCTCCTATTACTGGAATAAACAATAGCTTCAAAATACAGCTGTCGCCTCCCTAGAATTAAGTTTTATGCTCTGATCAGAATACATTGACTAGGCTTAGCACTTGATTTTGTCTGATGTCTTTAAAAGGGCTTTTACTTTTTTTTTTATTTTTGGTGACTGAGATGATTATTGAAATAAACTGTGCCAAATGTTCACAGATTTTATGAAAATAAGCAAACATTGTATAAAACTGTTCAATCCAAAGTAACAAACCTCTTCACAGAGGTCAAGATCATGAGGTGCATCTAGACCATCAGAAGATTTCACACTGATTTTTACTATCTAAAGAGAAAAGTGATGGAATGAGGCATGATGAAGGCCAATAATCAAGAGAGAGGGTTGTACCAGAGCTCTCAGGAGGGAATGGTGCTTGGGGAGCAAAATTCTTCAGCTTCCAGGTAAAATCAGTTCCAGTGATTTTGGAATCATAGAAAAATCCACTGTGATCCAGAAGGCACCCAAGAAGAGAAGAAAGATATGGCTGAAACTTGCTAAGACAACTGGGTTAGCCTTCAGTTTATCAGTCCACGTCCTCCCACACACAGATTGAGGAGGGCATTGAAGTTAAGCTATAGGATAATATTTGTTTAATATAAAGAACTGCACAAGGCTATGAAGGGGAGTGGTGACACAGGTCATACTTACCATACGTCTGTACCAAGCACTGAGGGTGGTCTGGCTTAGTGCCTCCATGAACTGTCAGACCTGCAGTATGGCTACTAGGAATACTAGACTAGCACTGAGAAAAAATGAAAAATGTTTTAGTACTCAGAATTTCACGGGAGGGTAGTGAAAATTGGTTATTGTTTCATTTCTGCCTCAGCCCCCTCTCAACACATAAAGATGGTGGAGTGCACACGGGGTTTCTCTTGAGTAGATGATAATAGATGTGAAGCATGAAAGAAATGCAGTCTGATGCTGCCTCCTGCTCACTGTGATCGCCTTTCCTCCCTGCACAGCTGTTACTCACAGCCCAGCTTTCGGGATCAGTTTACCTCCTCCTTAGCCTTGCTGTGGCCAAAGTGGCCACAGGAGCTGCAGAGCATCGCATCTGGGACAGCCAAGGGAGGCAGGGGTCAGCAGCCACAGTGGCAACCTGTCCCGGCTGTGTGTGCGGCAGGTATTTTCCTGTGTGGTTCCTGAGCATTGGTGCTGTGGGCTTTGGTGCCTGTCCTCCATCATCCATCCTGTCGCTGTTAGGGAAAACACCTCAGTTCCTCTCTCACCAGCAGAGCCTGCCATGCAGAAAGGCTGGTTCAGACAGCACCAGGTATGTCCCATTGCAACGACCACAAAACATCACCCACTGTAGACAAATTCCCATGAGAAGGATCATCCCATGGGTGTCCTCCTAAAGAATATATTTCCTGGACAGATGCAGATGCAGACTGACCGCAGGTCAAAGAATAAATGATCAACTCTTCCTGTTTAGCCTCTGAAATGAGACACAGGTGATTTCCATAGATGAAGAGGTAACCTGTTTTTATGTAATGATCCATTTCTACTAGAGGGATATGCTCCATAAGGTCAGTGGTTCAGCCCAGGGGTAAGGGTAGCTAATTTCTTGGTTTACTTCTGTGGGCTCACTGTGGGGTCTGAGGCTCACCAGAGACCCCAGGACAGTGCAGAAACATGGTTTTCTGTGTGTTGGTTTTCAAGTAAAGGATGAGACCCTTGAGTTCACGTAGGCTACACTGAGACATACAGAAAGTCACTTCGGTGCAGGATTATTAAACTTGTCCCAATTTACTCCCTTTGAACAACAGTTTGATCTACATGTCCATAAAAGGTTGGCTGATTGTGTATGCATGTGTGTGTGCCTGACATAAAGAAAAGATACACTGAAGAACTGAAGATATTGAAAAGAGAGCCCATAAAATATTTTTTACACAGAACAGCTGCATGTCTGGCCTCTTTAACTTTATGTTAATTTCTGACAAGTAGCTTCAAATTTCTCAGTGCAAGATTCTTGTTCTTTCAGATATTCTGTAAAACTTCTCTTTTAAGCCCAGGCACCCACACATTGCTCCCTTTCCTCCTCTTTCCCCATACATCTGCATCAGGCAGGTTATATTTATTCAGCAAGACAGATAAAGTCACTGCCTTTCAAACTTGTGCTATGTATTACATTCTCCTGCTTGACTCTCGTTTTAAATAAAACTTTGTTCTTCATCTACTCGGAGACCAGGAAAGGGATTATTTGTCTGCAAAAGGACATGCTCCAGAATCAAACAGTGGTGGGGCTTGTGGAATGGGTACAGCTCCACATCTGAGTTTCAATTCACCTTCATCCTCCACCATTTGGGGTTTTTTGGGTCTAGCAGTAATCCAAGCAGCTCGTTTTCACAGATTTAGAGTGTTTCATACGGTAATTGGAATTTCACTGCTTTAATGTCTTCATTCAAATAGTTTCTCTGATCATGGCACTGAAAGGGAAGTCTTAAGCTATACATAGCTTTATGTGAAAAAAGAAGGTTTATGTGATTATGGAAACAGTTCATAAAATCTAGCAGACAAAAAATGATTTAAAATTCATTTATTCATAACAGCAGAAGTTAATATTCTTCTTGCCTACAAAAGATTTTCAAATATTAATCTTTCCTTCTGGATTTCTGCTATTCTGCAGAGCTAGTTTGGATTGCTTCAGTATTACAGATGCCCTAACTTCTTTTTATGTCCTTTTTAGTCTCTTCAAAATACTGTTTTTCCTTAAATAAATAATGCTGATTCCATGAAGATGGTATCAAAGCCATCTTCCAACTTTCCTACAGATTTATGTAAGTATTTGAACTGAACACTGAATTCTGGTCTCTGTTTTGCAGCTAAGCATTTTACCGATGCAGAATAAATCACTTCCCTACAATTGAAGATTTAAGATTTAAGCAACTTAGCATATCCTTTCAAAATCTGAGAATTTCTTGTTAATGGTGCATTTGCTTTGGGAGCAGGGTAGTATTATGTGCGCATGTCTGTTTAGATATGTGATTTATATTATTTCTGTAGGATACTGCTTTTTTCTTTTCTTTTTCTGATGCTCCTCCTGTATTTCTTCAGCGCCTGTATTATCTAAGATGCTTCAAACCTCCCTAAATGTAATTTTAAACTGAGCTCATAAAAGGCTGGCAACAGCTTCAAACACTTAACTAGTTACTTGAGACCAAATTGTGTACTCCCTTGGCCTGACTTTGTCAAAAGCCTTGCAGTTGGAAGCAAAAAAAATTTGTCATGTAGCCATGGGAGAATTGACGAGCGAAGACCATAGGCACAGTGATTCAGATTAATCTCTGTATTAACTTCACTGAAGCAATACATCTGGAACATATTAAAACACTTTTGCTGTGTGATCTGTCAGTTCCGCGCTATCATTTTAGAGAGTGGCTCTTTAAAGCCCTGTCCTCCAGGTTGAATGAAGTTAGCGATGGTGAGCTGACAGATCACAGGAGATGCTTTTCCTTAGAGGTACCTGTGGGGGGAATCTGTTAGGCACAACGCCTTTTCATGGTTTAATCAGGGAGCTGAAAATACAGGAAAAATTTCTGTTAATAAAATTTGCAAATGGCAACAGGATTTGCTTAAAGAAATAGGAGTATAAAGAAGGCAGAAAATTTCAGAAGACCAGCAATCTGACCATTGCCTTTTTCTTAATAAGGCCTGTTGGCTAGTAAGAATCCCTGACCATACATGCCTCTGTGTGTGTGTGTGTGTGTGTGTGTGTGCACGCGCGCGCACGCGCAAGGTTGGAAATAACATAGTTCTCTTTTTTGTTAAACATTGGTGACCTCTGATGATCTTCTTGCATGCTCACTCTGCCTGCGAGGTGCATAGCTGGAGAGGGGGCTTTGTCCTTTGGGTCCACCTGTTCGGGCCATCCATATCCACAGGATCCCTACCTTCCCTGGCAATCTCTGCAGTTTTGGAAACTTGGCTGGTTTGAGCTGGTTTTGTTTACAGGTTTGTTGAGTTTATGGCAGGGGAGCATTGCCCCGAGAGCTTTAAGGGAAGAGACCTTTTGGTTTATTCATTGTCACATGCAGACTGTGAGGAGCAGAAACAAATAAGCTGTTGGCATCACAGAACCGATCTGAAGTGGTTTTTGCTACATGCCAAAAAAAAAAAAAAGAGGTGAACTCCTGGCCTTGAAATTTATGGGCACTTGGCTACTCACTCCAGGAGAGTATTGCTTTCTTGATGAGTCTATCAGCTTCACCTAATCACCTAAAGGTAGGTATGAATTTTTCTATTTTAAAAAAGTTGTATGTTGTAAGAAAAGGGGAAAAAAGGTCAGTTCCAAAAATACACTCTGCCACAGAAAAGAGACACCTTTCCAGAATATAAGAAAAGTCCCCACCAGCAACATGTACATCTACCCCCCACACCATTATTCCTGTGATGACAGTTAATGCTTCATTTCTTCCCTGCTTTCCTTGCACAGTCAGTGAGACGGGCATTCCGGCTGGGGCAGCCCCAAAAACAGGCCACCTGCAACAAGGAGAGAGGAAGCAATTCACTGGGGTGATGAGCACTTGGTCTAAAAGGCAGAAGCAGCACTGCTACAAAACATTTGTCTGAGGGTCATGCTAGCATCCTTAGCGTCTTGCCCCTGGCTCAGCAAGTGGTACTACAGAACTGGTGCACTGCATGGCTGTGCCATGACATTGTCACCCCGCTGGGGCAAGAGGCTCCCCAGCAGCGGCAGGAAGTGGCATGGGGCACTTTTTTGACATTTCATTTGAATTAATTTAATATCATTTTCAGTTGAACATGACGAAGAACTTCTTTACCTTGAGGGTGACAGAGCACTGGAACAGGCTGCCCAGGGGGGTTGGACCGGATGATCTCCTGAGGTCCCTTCCAACCCCTGCCATTCTGTGATTCTGTGTGATTTCAACCTTGCCTGGACCCCCTCCCATCCCCTGCAGAAGCGTCTCAAGGCTGACAGCTGCCTAGTGTCCTTTGCACAAGACCTGCCAAGCGTGTAAACAAGTTTCTCTGAGTGGTGATGTAATTGGTGAAGAATCATGATGAGTCCAACAGGAAGAGCGAAAGCCATGCAGAAGTCCAGGAGTGGTGAGCATGCAGCAGCATCTGCAAGGTTTTCCTCCTGGAATGTGTAGATCTTGGCCAAGTTCAAACCGCTGCTGTGGGCTAACAGCAAGACTGGAAAGTACATGCCTGTTAATTAGTGGTGAGAATAAAATATTTCTGAAATATGGCATATTTATGCATGGTTCCATGTTGCTAAGTACAGCTTAAGGAAAATAAATAAATCAACCAATGAAGGCACAAAAATTTAATCTTACATGGGTCACAGAGAAGAAATGCCCTTTTTAACAGGGTGATATCACAGCGCCCCTACAAACATGGTATGACTGCCAGGGTGCCAGTTGAGCCTTATTGCTGGCCTGAACTTCCCAGACCCAGATTGTAGCTCCTTTAAGTTTGCTAGCTTATGGGTGGAAAACTGTGTTTCTCAAGTTTTTTTCACAGGTGATGTGTGTTTTGTCTCTCTCCCTTCCCACCCCACCTAATTTTTTGGAGTTACTGATTTCCTGGTGACCCCCAAAGGCATGTAGGCACATCCCCTAGGGCACAAGCACACTGGCAACAGGTCAGCTCCTTGAGGAAGGAGGAGCAAGGACTGGCTGCATTTGCTGGTTATGGGGATAAAAGCCCCTTCCCTTTGGAGTACATGTCCCAGTATGGGTGACATTTCCCATGTGCGATTCCTGTGTTAGCTGACGAGTGCACAGTATTTGCTTTTTTTTGTCCCACAGTGGGCTGAAGGTCCAATAACCCCCCCCGCAAGGGGTTTGGACCACCACATCTCTGGTGGCACAGGGTTGTCTCCTCCTCTCCTCCCCGCCCCCTGCCCTGTGATGGGCCTTCTGAGGGCTGTGACATGGCGCTGAGGTGACAATGGGCCAGCCAGGCACAAGGCGTGGCTCTGAGTAGCCCTCCAGGACAGTGCCAGTGCCAGCGCTGCCAGCACCATCGCCATCACCACCAGAACCACTGGCTTACACAGGTGAGCTGGGTCCACAGGTCCCAGGGATGGAGGGATGGGTCCTGGGAGGGCCCCCGGCAAGGATACCAGGAGCCCCCTTCATGCTCGCATGGTACAAGCCTGCCTATTTTTTGCTCTAGAGGGATGCAGACCCACAGAAGATTTATGTTATATGGCAGCCTGCGAACAGCCTTGAGACCTGCAGCCCCTGGATGAGGCAAAAGGCTGTAGGAGAGGCTGGGTTTGAGGGTTTGAGGCTGTCTCACAAGCGGTAGGAACCGGCTCCCCAAATCATGGTGGGCTAATTTACAATCTGAGCGATAGCTTTTGTGTTCTCAGAGATCGCCGATACCTGGTTGCAGTGGCCTAAGTTGATCAGTCATAGAAAGTTCACTGGTGTCGGGAGGAGGACAACCCAACTCAGGGAACAATTCAGGGGATGAAGTTCTATGGGGAAAGATGTGGTCAACTGCTTGCAAGAAAGTCTGTGAGATTTAGGCACTTATCTGGGGCCTAGAAGACAAGTCTAGACTCTTTATCATCAAATAACAGATAAAGCATATGTTAGCTTACAAATGCAGGCATTTGTTATTGAGACAGTCTAACTGAAACTTGTATTCCAAAAGGGTTCAGAAGTTTAGGATGCCTCATTCCTTCACATGCATCAATCATTAATTTACCCCAGAGCCCCACCTCCACCCCGACGTTGCCTTGCGTCAGGTCCCAACCCATCCCTGCCCCAGTCCTGCCTGGATCCCAGATGTTCTGTGTCAACACCTGCATGGTCGTCATGGTTGTCCCATGGTGGAGAGACACCTGTGGGTTGTGCTCCCTTGTTCTGCTGGAGACAAGGTGTGAGGGATGTGAGTGTGTGTCCAGCAGCTGCAGGCAGTCCTCAGCTCCTTCCCTGCCAACTTCTTTTCTTCACAGCACCAAGATGTCAGAGGTAGAAAATGTTTTCCGTAAATTCGCCATGTATGGTGACACATCTGCCAGTGGCAATGACATGACGGGGAAAAACTTCTCCAAGCTGTGCAAAGAGTGTGGCGTGATGGATGGGAAAGCCGTGACCAGCACTGACATTGACATCGTATTCAACAAAGTCAAGTGAGTGTCACAGGGAGGGACGATGGGCAGCACAGCTGGGCGGGAGGAAGGAAGGGCAGGGGGCAGGCAGGCTCTCACTTGTGGGAGGGGCAGCCCTAGGGGTTTCCCATCACCCTGCCATCCAGCAGTGAGGTAACTCTTCTCTTGGTCTCTCCTTGCCATAGGACCAAGGGTGCCCGCACCATCAACTTTGCTGAGTTCCAGCAGGCCATGAAGGAGCTCTGCGGCAAGCGCTTCAAGGGCAAATCACCGGAGGAAGCACTGCAGGCTGTGTACGGCCTCATCGAGGGGAAGGAGCCCGGCAGCGTGGGTGCCACGGTGAGTATGAGATTCTTCGCTTGCTATGCACCTTGAGCTGCCATGGGATCATTTGTCCCTGCTGTAGGGACATGTGCTATCCTCGTGCATAAGAGCTCTTTTATGAACTGTTTCCTAATGCTGGCTGCCTCTTGCTGGCCTCCTTTCTTGCAGAAACCCCCCCCAGCCACAAAGAGCGTTTTGATGAGAGTGGCAAAGGGAAGGGTCTTGCTGGCCGCCAGGACCTGACGGACAACAGCGGCTATGTTGGAGCCTACAAGGGAGCTGGCACATACGACCAGACGCACTAGGACTGAAACTGCTTAAGGAAACAAGGACTCTTCCCCTATAACGTGGGAGGAGATGCAAATAAACAACTTGTGCAACCAGCCTTCTGTGTCTGTGCACCCCAAATCTAACAGGGTAGGAATGCGTAGCAGGGTGGGCACTGGATGGCTCTGAAGAGTGGTGCAGATTCCTCATCGGACCATGCTTGGGTTGCTGTGTGGTGGGGTTAAATCCAAGCACAAGCCTTCTGGAGGAAATTCTATGGGCCAGCTAGTCCACCACCATCACACTGTTTTGCATTTCCAATCACGTGAACAGCAGTTTAGTTTATGAATAGTCACTCACTATTTTTATTCCCCGCTCCCAACACTCTATACTTGCTGTGATTTTTGGCTTGGGGAGCAGTGTGTACATGTTTTTGTATAGCTGCTCTGGGTTACATCTGAGTTGATGGTTTCTGGTGGCAGACAGCTCACCAGTGGTGCCTGACCACTCCTTGAAGTGCACTCTTACAGGGTATGGGAGGCAACACTGTGGGAGAGGGAAGGACTACCAATAACACCAGCTCCTGCTTTTTGCTTTTCCCTTGCCCCAGGCTAAACCCTCTCACCCGTGCCTAGCACTTGGCATGGTCACTCATTACTATTTCCCCAGGCTTCAGGATGCTGGCAGCTGGGCAAGAGTTTGTGAGCCTGAGGAAAGCAAATACAGAGCTGTGGTGTGGGGGATCAGGAAGGAGGGAAGGCCTGTGTGGAGAATAGCAGACCCTGTGTACTCAGTAGGATGATTTGCAAGCTCTGCCTGCACCCAAATCATTGCCCCAGCTCCTGTGTCTTTCCCCCCTCTGCCTCCCAGCCCCACTGCTGTGGCTCTGGTTGCTTATGAGGATCTGCAGTGCTGACAAGACCTAAAATCACACATGCACTTGTTCTTTCCCCCTGGTGTTTCTGCAGGCTGGTAGCACTAGTGTGTCCCTTGCCCCTGCTCCTGGATCCATGGCTGTGTGGCCAGTTTTGGGGTCCCCAGTGTGGGCACCAATCCAGGACACACTGCTGGGCAGTGGAGGGATGTGGGAGGCTCCTTGTGTGTGTCACTGGCTCTCAGCCCACCGGGTCTGCGCTTTCAGTCTCCTGGATTTAGCATGGATGAGCTTTTAGGGATATCTGAAACAACACCTCTGGGACAATTTCACCTTGACATTACAGTGTGCTGTGCTATTCCAGTCCTACAGGCCCTCATCGTGGGCCATGACATGGGTGCTCAAGGCATGACACTTGCCCAAAGCACATTGCTCTTTGCCCCACAGCACTCACAAATGTCCTCTTTGCTGCCCTAACCCCAGATAACACATCAGTTGGTTGGATCTAGGAATTAACAAGTCCCACTCACTCACTTGCTCTCTCTCATGCTGTCCTTATGTATTGATGACCTTTTAAGCTGCTTTAAAAATGATCCATTGTGCCCCTAGGTAACTCATGTGTGTAAAGTGGTTTGGTGACTTTGGGATATGAGGCAGAAAGTCCTACAGAGAAGTGAGCAGATGCATTTGGCATCATTACTGGGGTCTTGGTAGCTGGGGTCTGCAGGAATGACCTGGGAGAGAGAGGTCACAGACCACCCTGTGCTGGCCTACAGCCTGAGCAGGGCTCGAGAAAAGAGATGTCACCATCAAGTGCTGGAGCAAAGAAACCCCCTGGGCAGGGGCAGGCACACAGAAGACATGGGAGGAGGTATGACTCTGGAGGGGCTGTGGCTGGTGGAGAGGGCCACACCAGAGTGGCACAGTGAGAAACAAGGACCAGAAAAAGAAGAGGAACCACAGTGGCTGACCCCAATCTCCTGCACTGTCCATGGACTCCTCGAAGGCGCTGAGGGGGTGGGAGAGCAAGAAGGGGGTGGGAGAGGCATCTGGAGGGAAGCTGATATATTTCCCCTAAGTGTTTTTTTAAATGCTTGTGTCTATTTCTCAATACCAGAATGGATAATTTAAAGTTTATGTTAGTTGGTAAAAAAAGAAACTATGAAATTCAGACTCAAGACTGCTTCTTTGCCCAAGAGAGTAGGAATGGGATACAGTAAAATGGAAAGACTAGAACTGGAACATATGTTAAAAAAAAGGGCTTTATGCCTACTTTTAAATTTTTTTTATAACTCAGTTCTTTAAAACATGTACTCAAGGTGGCTGTCCTCAGCAATGCTGTCTTGGTACATCACGTCCTGTTTAAGCAAAGTACCTGTAAATTAAAAAATAACAGGATGTTGTACAAAAAAAGAAAAGCTAATGCACTCAGTAAAACAATGTCAGAATATTCTCGCATAGCTCTGCTTTTGGTGGCATAGCATTCCTTATTTAAATACTGTCAACAGGTAATTGCCACACATATTGATATTTCAGAGCTATGACTGCTATTCCTGATGCTTTCTCTTATTACTTCCTGAAGTGGCTCTACGCATCCTGTTGCTTTTGAGATGCTCCTGCAAAAACATATCTGAGAGGTAGCAGGACTGTACCCCAGACCTGCACACAGTTCTTTAATGGTTTTCTGTGCTTTGATGAATAAGCCATAGTCCCCTGGTCTTCCCAGGGCAAAGGGCTGATTGATTTCTTCCCAACATAGCACAATGTGGGGAGCGTAGCTGGTGTATGTTCCAGTGTAATCGAAGACATGGGTTTGAGGTTCTCCCAGTACTTTCCACACCCCCTCACCTCCAAACGCTTATTAAAGCATGATGGCTGGTAATCAGCAGGGTCCTGCTGATGCTTGGTGGCCAAGCAGAAAGGTGTACTGTCTTCAGCAGCATACTACCACCAAATAAAGCAGATTTCAAGCAGAAGGTGTAGGTACCAGCAGCCTCACAGCTGCATCAATGTCCAGGTTTGGTGTGGCATCTGATATCTCCATTCCTTCTAGCTGCACTTCAAACACCTGCGACCTTTTCATCTAGGGAGAAAGGAAGACAAGGACAGCCCTCAATAACCAAACAAACCTCGAGTGTATTTCTTTGTTCGGGCCTCAGCTTCCTTGTAATTAAATGACTCAAAAAATTGCCCACATACAGTTCTGCAAACAAACACAGGAATGTGTTGTATTTTTAGTTTCTTTTATATATATATGCATATATATATATATACACACACATAGCTAGCATGCAAAAGCTGTGGGAGCTTTGGGAGCAAACTGAAAGCTTTGTACTTGTGCTTGTGTAGTGTGAGTTCTGGTTTGCTTTAGTGGATTGGGACCCTGCAAAAACTGAGGTGGCTCTCCAGTGCAAGGTGTGCGTGTAGGGTCCTGTTACACCACTGCCATCTGATGCTAAATATCTGTACCATTTTGTATTTGCTCTCTTGAAAGATGCCATGTTACCTAGAAAACCAGCCATACTGGGAGAAAGCGCCTTCTCTGTGCTGTCCTTTGACCATCGGAGGGAGTGTGAGGGCTTTGGGAGAGGGCTGCTAGTGCTCCTGTTGTCATTTGAGGATGTGGTTGCATATTAGTCAGAAGAACAAGGGCCATGGAAGCTGCTAGAAGACAAATGTAGCTGCACATATGTAAATGACCCAGTTTGGGGCATTTATTGGCAACAGTGGAAATCCTGCTG